TACAACCATCTATTTATTCATCTATTCATTTATTCCGCCATCCTCCAAACCATTTTTCTATCCATCCGACTATTTGTTCATCCATCCAAGCATCGATCTATCCATCAGTCTATGCATCTATCTATTTATCCATCCATCCATCCATTCATCCATCCATCTATCTGAGAGTACTCATTCATCTTCATTTCAATCGGTCCGTTACTACTACGATATTTGGTTAAATAGTTGTTTACTCGTGTGGTTCTATTTTATGTTGTTGTTGCAACGGTAGCTAATGTTGTTGTTGTTGCTGCTGCTGCTGTTGTTGTTGTTGTTGCTGTTGTTGTTGCTGTTGTTGTCGCTGTTGCTGTTGTTGCAACATCTGCAACGGTTGCTAATGTTGTTGCCGCTCATGTTTTTGTAAACGTTCTTGACTATAATTTATTATTAATATTATTATTTAAGTTATTTTTCTGACTATTATTCTCCTAGTATAACTCTTTTCCTTTTAGTATAACTTTTTTTCTTCTTCTTATAAGCATCACTACCGTCAATATTGTTGTAAAAAAATTTGCGAAAAACGTTGAATCATTCCGATGACGGGTGGATGTTAGAGAGGGAAGGTGCGTGTAGCAGGAGTCTTTGTGCATTCGTTGGTTTCCTATCCACGCTGTTCCATCCCACTCCCTGCCTGTCACACTTCTCCATTGGGTCGGTTCGAATTAACTCGCCAACTTAACTCCCTATCAAAGTCATTTGAAACATGAAGCCACTCAATCACATCGCGTCATACGTCATAATCAACGATCATATTTTTCATCATTATTTTTTGCAGTTCTTACAAAATTTTGTTGGAATTCCAATCTGGAACGCGTCAAATACGACAACGCAATTTGCATAATATTTCACAGGTTGAAACGTTTTTATTATGCAACAAATAATACAGAATGCTATAAAGATTGACACAGTAGAACTTTAACAAATGCAGTGTGGGAACGTACACTGTTCAGTGTAAAATGTCTCTCTCTCTCCCTCTTTGTGTGTTGGAACCTGTCCATTTTGTGTTTTTTAGTTTTTTATGAGAATGTTTGTGCATATATATGTGTGTATATATATATATATATATATATATATATATATATATATATATATATATATATACCAGTGAGTTAGGGTTAGATAACCTGAGTTTAAAAGAGTTTCATATCAATTTTAATTCAAACTGTTGCAGCAACATTTCTTAAATATTTATATAAGAAATATTGGTTTAATTATGAAAAATATAGAAAATTATGCAAAAAATAAACGAGAAAAAAGTAGCCAACTTTTTCAGAAAATTCTAAGTCGTCGCCTCCCAAAATCTTTCCAGCCGCTGCAGTGGAGCACGTGTTTCGATAAGCGAACGTATAAATTGTTATGAAAAAATTATTAACATAGTAAAGGAATGCATAAAATATTCATCACGCTCGTGTTGCTGATGCGAAATGAAAATTAACGGAGACTGCCAAACAGCGAAACACACTTTCGAAATCCTACTTAGCCTTTTATATTCACTTCCAATTAATGTTAGTCTGCGAATGTGAACGATATGATCGTGTGTGTGTGTGATGGTGGTGGTGGTGGTGTGTGTGTGTGTGTGTGTGTGTGTGTGTGTGTGTGTGTGTGCGCGCGCGCGCGTTCGTCAACAAACGTTCATGTGTGAGGAGCTCGCGCACGAACGAACGAAAATTAAAGTTCAAGTACTAGACACTGGGTATCACTCCTTTTAAATTTCATGAAAACAAAAACTTCTTTGTTTATTTTTTGTTTTATTCCAAAAACCATACCATCATGCAAGCAGGTATAGAAAGACAAAGCGATGCAGATTCTTCGTGGTTTAGTAGGCCAAGAAAATGGATGGATCCTGAGTGCTTCCTCAACGTTCAATTTACTTCCAGGCGATCTTCGTTAATTACATGCGAATGTTGTGGCTACGTTTTTGCTGGATGCAGTGACGTTGGCGATTGTAATTAAATAAATGAAAGAGCGAGTGAGCGATCACATTAATAAGTGAGAAAGTGATTACATGGATGCTATAAAATCATGATGACGAATAATGTTTCATGATTTTAACAGTTGCAAACGTTAAAAGTTGAGATAATTATTGTCGAATGATAGTTCAAATGTTAAAACACAAAACCCAACAGGCAGCAGATTAATTAACTCCATTTGCATGCTACAAGTGGCAAGTTTAAGAGAAATGTGGAAAAAGATTTTTATTGTGGAAAAAATAAATGGCGGACAACATATTTGCTATTCTAGGGAGTGCAGCGAATTAAATGAGCCCCAAATAACAGCCTTTAACGTTGTAAAATTTAGAGCAAATTGGCTTCCTTTCCTTCTTCGTTCATCTCATTTTAACATTTCTCTACCTTTTTTTCTGTTTTGTAAGTTAGTTAGTTCCATCGCTCTTTATGTGCAGTGCATACTTCCATTCAAGTGTGTGTTGTTGAGTGGATGTGTATGTGTACATGTGCGAGCCAACTGTGGGATTTTTGTACTTATTTGATTTATTTTAATAATTTTCTAGTTGGCATATTTAAATATGCTTTAATCTGTGTACCATTTGAATAGTACAAAATTAAATGTTTTATATATTTTCATTGAAAGCCATTGTTAAATGAATTGAAAAAACTTTCACATTCAGACAAGCCTTTCAATATTTGTTTGTTTCTCCTAAATTTGGAGGGACTTAAAAAGGTGAATGATAAATAAACAATATTCTTCTTTATGTTTTTCAATTTGTCGAATTGGCTTCAGTGCGATAGGCGAAACGTGAACAGCATAATGTGGCAGGCAGTTTCTGACAATATTAGCCACACGCATGTCTGTCTCTCTACATATCTGTCTGTTTGTCTTTTTATTCATGTCTGTCTGTTTGTGCGTCTGTCTGTACACTTCCTTCTCTATTTTTTTTAAATTTTGTATCCTTTATACACACTGTTTTATGTTCTCGGCGTGTAGCAACAAACGAACGACAGTGCTGTCGAAAACACATGTTTGCACGTGCACTGCACATACATTCTTAGCCTGCCTGCCTGTCTGGAATTTTTGTTTTTTTATCTGTTTGTTTCTTCTTTTGTTTGTTTGTTTTTCTGTTTGTATGTTAGTGTTGAGTATTTTTTCATTTGTTGTACTCGTCTATACACTGTTCGCTGGTGTTTTTATGGATGCTAGTAGAATCTGTCTTCGTGCGTTCGTGTATTTTTGGAAATTCTAGGTTAAACTGCTTCTGTTTTTAAATTTTCAATAATTGATATTGAAAAATTAGAACTTCTTTGATTTTAATTAACAAGTTGTATCTTTCCAAAGTTCACAAATGTTCATTTTTATTTTCATCGTTTCTACATTATACTTTCCAAAAACTTAAGGAGAAATTCTTATATTTGTATTGAATTTTATAATGTCATTAAACCAATTAACGTTAGTTAAAAAACAACGCACGGAATATTTTTGAATTACGTTACAATTTCTTTTCTTTCAGTTTTAACTCACAAAACATGATCCAGCATTTTAACTCGCAGCTCTTAAATTTTGTAAGACATTATAATTATCTGAAATATTTACTGACTGCCCGGGAGGTTTTCCATTATGAAATCATGACAACGTTCAGACCACCTGCGGCTTGAAACGTTTTAAAGGAAAAAACTTAATTAAAGCACAATGCAGTGTAGCGAGCATTGAAAAAGAAAACAGAAATGTTGTAGCAAGTTGTTGTCATCCGAGCTCTTGTCATCATTATAAAAGTGAGCCCGCGAGCTTTATAATTTGCTTTGTGATTGCTTAATAGTAAAATAAAGCATGTGTAGAGATATATTGTAGATTATTACAATGTAACGAAAATTTCTTTTAACACGCTATTAAAGATTTCTCTAATCTATGAATAATTAATCGCGGCATCAGCAGTCGGGCAAACGATATAGACTAGACAACAAGCAGTTGCGCAAATAAACATTTAAATGAAAACAAACTCATGTTGGCAGGAATTTAATTACATTAAATACAACGAACGCGCGGACAAACCTGCATTTAAGCACAAAACATACCCGCAATGAAAGTTAGACAACTATCTTGGGAAAGTGCAAAACATTTTACAATAGGAAGCTGTTGAGTAGGTAGCTACTGATGCTCAGATAGGTAGGTGAGCATTCGGCAAGATGTTACTGGGAATTAGAAGTTACTGACGCACTAAATTAGTCGACCAGGTTGCATTTGTTAAACTCCTACTCCTCTCCACTAATGCCAAAATCTCAGTTAACACCTGTTAGTTTATGGGGATTTTTTTCGAATAGAAGCAGAACATCCAACCATTTTGTACGATGATTTTTACCGCATGAAAGATACAGAAGAGTGAGAAAGAGAGATAGCAAAGAATAAAATAAACAGGATTTAAAGTTAGATATATTGAGCTTTCCGAATAAGTACAGTCTTGTCGCAATGATTCGTTACGATCCCACGAAATAAATCAGAATTTTGCTTACAAGAAATTTTGAGTTAACCAAATATCGTCATCAACCTTTTAGAAAATTGTTAACTTATTGAAAAATTTATTTGATGGTGTACCAGTGATAGTGTACCAATCATGTATCCTATTCTATATATCTATCATGGGTGTTAGTTGCATCATGCCCTATATATTTTTAGTAACCCAAACCTAATTTTGACGATAGTGTTTTAATCAAATGGTCATAAACATTGTTTTTCTTGTAAGATTTAAAAAACTACTGCAAACCTTACAACCAGAACGGATCTCCGGTTTTACCATAATTTTTAGTAACTTTTGTAATTTTTAGTACGTGGTTTATTAAACAAAAATGATTTAGTTGTTTAGCAGATGTTTAGAACCGGATTTTTTTATAACGTAAATTAAGCGCCATGAAATATCGAAACGTTTTAAAAGTTAACTTATTTTTGCGGAAAGTTCACAATTTTATTTTAAAAAATAAATTTCTGATCTTATTTAACTGAAAAGTTGAATCAGTATGGATTTTGGTGAATACGACAATAGAAAAAATCGCAAAGTTGAAAGTGGTGTCCCAGATGTTTGTAAATCCGAGCCGTGTATGATGGGAATTGATGAAGCAGGAAGGGGACCTGTGCTTGGTAATTTTTTTAATAAACTAATTAAAAAGAAGTTACTATTTATTTATTTATTATAAGATTTACTAACTAATATAATACAGTACTCTACCAGAAAACTGGAGGAAAGATAATTATTGGTTGTTATGTTTACTCTAGTTGTTAATTGTTATGTTGTTTGTCCATTGCAGGAATCAATTTTTATTAGTAAAATCTAAAATGAAACTTATACTTGTTGTATGAATGACCTATTTAATGATTTGGCAATTAATTAAATGAATTTGCCATACTAAAAAAACACAGGCCATGTCAAACATTTCATTTAACAACCTTTTACCAGTTTATTGAATTAAATAAAAATTCAAGATTAGAGACTGTTTGTGTTTATTAATGGTTGTATGTATTTCTACTAAGATAAAAAATTGAAAGTTGGTTGAATAATAACAATAATAATATGCCTATATATAAAAGTAAAAGATTTAGCCTCATCATAATCTATTTATTTCTTCATTAATCCAATATTGTCAGATTGGTCAGTGAGAATAATATTACTGAGTTCATATATTCAGCAACTATTGAAAGAAAAAAGATTTGTAAAAGCAATCACAATTAGTTTGACCAAAGACATCATCAACTTCAAAATAACCTAATTTTGGTTTAAATGATTTTTTGTATAGTTTTCTAGGGAACTTAAGAAATTGTAAAATAAAAGACTTTTTCAGTGATCATCATTTTTTATTATCTTTCAACTCAAACTTTAAATAATGATATCTGTCATCACTAAGTTTATAAATTATAATGTTATTTATATTTTCATTTTATTTACTTGTACACAAGGTCCCATGGTTTATGGCACTTGTTATTGCCCTATAGCTAAAAGTAGCCTCCTGAAAACAATAGGTTTTGCAGGTGAGTTATAGTATAAACAGTTTAAAATATTAATTTAAAATTTTTTCTAGAACTTTCTATAAATTTTGGTTAATTTTAGATTCAAAGACCTTGACAGAAGAACAAAGAGACAATTTGTTTGTGAAGTTGGATGCAGAGAAAGCAAACATGGGATGGCTTATAAACATATTATCTCCAAACTACATTTCAAATAGTATGCTGAAAAGGTGAGCTAGTATTGCTGAGTAACTGTTATTGATAATTTTATTACTTATCAAGTAAACAATTTTTTTTTGCCAACTAGAAACAAGTACAACCTGAATTCTCTGTCTCATGATACTGCAATTGGATTGATATCAAGAGTTTTAGAACTGGGCATCAACTTAACAGAAGTGTGACTAAAATTTCAAAATTATTATTCACAATTGCTGTTTCAACATAAATTTGATATATATAATGACAAGCATTACAAGCAGAATGCATTAAGTTTTAAATATTTGAATCCATGTTGCCACATGAAAGCATGTTATTTTGATTCTAAACAGTTTACTTGACTTTGTGTTTTGTTGTAAGTAGATAATCATATTTCAGGTTTACGTAGATACAGTTGGTGACTTCAACAGCTATCAAGCCAAACTTAAATCAATATTTCCTAATATTGACATTGTTGTTTCAAAAAAGGCTGACTCTATATATCCCATTGTCAGTGCTGCTAGCATCTGTGCTAAGGTCAGTATGCTGTACATGAGTGTGTATGTTTAAATTATATTATGTGTGCGAGTGCATGTTGTATTCTTTAGGCTTCTATATAAACCAAATGGAAAATGGATACAACTAGTTATTATAATAACAGCCATTTATTTTAAAGAAATTATGAGCCATTAATTTTAATGGCTCATAATTTCTTTAAAATAAATGGCTCATAATTTCTTTAAAATAAATCTATTTTAATAGCGGGTGGCAACTTGGGTGCAGAGGATGGGCTAAGGTGTGGAAAATGAAGTTTGCTTATATGGTTTGGTTATGATGGTGACATTAAGAGTTAAGATGTGGAATTGTAATAATAAATGTTAAATTACAAGATGTATCATGTATTAGCTGTTACTTTGTTTAAAATATTTTATGAACTGTTTCTGGTTTTAAAATTATTGAATCAAGGTGGCAAGGGACAAAGCAATAAAAAACTGGAAGTTCATTGAAGGTGATTTGTTCCATCAGTTTGATTATGGCTCTGGTTACCCAGGAGGTAAGTTTTTAAAAATCTCAATCTGCTATGCCATTTGTTACATCTAACATTGTTGCATCATATAGCTAAAGAGCTGGCGGAAAATTGTTGTAACAATTTTAATATTTTTTTGTCTAAACAACTGAAACCTGCAGAAAACAATACATCACATAAGAACCATATTTTAATTTCACCAACGATACATGTATAACGTATATTAAGATGGTCGAGGTCTACCAATGTCTACAGGTGTGTTATACAACCGCTGTTGTTTAGAATGCAATCGCCTGGTCACAGCAATGTTGCTATCATGGAACATAATTAGATTTCCTACTAAATTATAGTCTTTTACTTTGTTTCATTTACCACAGCTTTAAGATTTATTTTTTGAAAAGTTTTTTAAATTATGAACAGATCCCAAGACAAAACAGTTTCTGAGTGAAAACATCGATCCAATCTTTGGTTTTCCACAATTTGTGAGATTTGGTTGGTCTACTGCCAGCAGCATATTGGATACTAAAGCTCTACCAGTTAAATGGTCAGTAAAACACAAAACTTGGACTTGTCAAATGTTGTCAACTCTAAAAAAATAATATTTCATATTTGATCGAATGAATTGAAATAATATTTTATAAATGAGTTATTGAAGATATATTTTATTAGACTTTTATTAAAATTATTCTCCTTCCTAGTCTATTTTCTTAGTCGTGTTATGAAAAAGTAGAAGTTGATAACGCGAAGAACAAGACTAGCCTCTTACAGCGTGTTGGTGGTTTGGGAGGCAATAGAAAAGTTAAAAATATGTAGGAAAATGTAAAAAAATCCTGATCGTGAGTAGTACAAGTCTGAATAACATCAGATCCACTATGAAAATGTAACTGAAAGGAGGAAATGTTCAAGATGTTCAAGACTCCATTACTAATGAGCACTGCTGGTCCACATTTTCAGTTGTTTTGTCAAGTTGATAAGTATTTTAAAAAAAGTCAATTGGTTCGTTTTAAGATAAATTTTTTAGACGTATCGCATATTTACTTGGAAGTGTTTTAAACGCTAATTGAAAACTATTTAATTTTTTAACCATTTCCGTGATTTTCGCCAAATTAGGGAAGATGATGAAGATCAAGCAGCAGTGCCCAACAAAAAGTCAAAGAAAGCCATCGAAAATTCAATCAAAACGCCTGTGATTTCAAATTTTTTTGGCGTACAAAAACAGGAGACCGTTAAAGAGAAAAGTCATAAATTTTTTTCAGAACGTTGCCTGAAAAGTGTAAAAAACTTATTTTAATGCATTTTTATTGTACTAAACCTTTTCACAAAATAAAATCATGTGTGTTAATAAATATAACACATTCGTAACCAACCTAGTATGTTATATAGTCTCATTGGAATAAAAAGATTGTCATGACCACAACAAAAATTGTTAAACAGCCGATGTGAATATTTAAAATCAGTTGCTACATATTGTGGACAAATGTGATTATTCCTGATTAAAAACATGTCTGTCAAATTACTTCGACAGCTTCACCCCAATCTCGTATATTCCAATAAAAAAATTTATAAATAGATTGACCACAAAATGAGAAATTATATTTTGTTCAACTGATTTGAATACATAAAATTACAACCGATAAAATCTAATACAATAACCTAGATACTGATACGTATGTGCTAAGGAGTTCAATCGTACATGCATATATTTATTTAAATGCATCCTGGTGCCAGGGCAGCGGCAGCATTCACGTTGGATATGACTGGACTGCATGGTCAGAGCTTGGACTTGTACATCGTAAGGTTGGATACAGGCAACGGGAAGAGTCCAAGATTTCTTTTGAATGACTGCACATCTTCGATCGGCTGGAACTGTATGGGTGTACGTGTGCATGTAGTTATATGGAAGTTGGAAGGTGTGTGTGTACACATACAGTTGCTACGTAAAGGAGGGTTTTTCCTAGTTCTAATTGGTTGTTGACAAATTTTTATGCAATTATGACTGAAGGAAACAGAGAATCAATAACATTTATCCTCAAATTTCATAATGTTGGTTAGGGTTATTTATCATTTAAAAATCATCTATTAAAAGACACTAAAAAAATACAAGGAGATACAAAAAATGAATACATGTGTTGTCAACGACAAATTACAAATAGAATCAACAGACCTCAAGAAATTGATTAGATCTTTTTTGTTAGTCTTTTATTTTATTAAGAAATTTTGATAATAAAATCAGGATAGAGCAGAATAAAAATTAAAGAACCTTAATATCGATGTTAGAATCTGTTTCGTCACCGTTGGTGATAACATTGGTCGACAGTGGCGATTTTGTAGGACTTGAATCAACGTTGGCGTCCACAGTTGGAGAAAGGGAAGGAGATGCCGTTGATACGACGTGAACTGACAACTTGTGACGCTTCGGAGCGTCGCTGGCAAACATTTCCTGTGCACGAGTTTCAGTTTAACATTATTATTAAAAAAGTCGTACAATGAAATCACATGCATTTGTTAACGTTTTGGGATCAGTAGCACAAAAAAATATGAACAAGAATCAACACACCCCATAGAAGTTGATGATGTCTTTCTTTGTCAGGGTCTTCAGATGACTTACTTCGACCTCATCTTCGATAAAATTGTCTCAATATTAACATTATTATTATTATTATATTATTATTGTTACTTTATAATAACATTCGCTTTATTATTGGTCATTGCTTTAAGCTTATGGCGACAAATTGTTAAAAATGTTATAAAACAGTCTTAACAAATTTGAAATCATATTTTAAGAAATGTGCACCTCTTTGAAAGTTATAGAACTGATTTGAAATTTCAGACCAATATCGATGGTTTTGAGCAGCCAACCTTTTGGGCTTTTCTAAACGTTTGGTGGCCACGGCATTAACATGCTTCTGAAAGATATCCTCTGTCATTTCTTCAATGTATTTCTGTTCAATTTTTATGATGATCTCTATTTATTTTTTCTACTTTAATGAACGTTGAGTATTACTTAGAAAATTGACTCTTTCCATATAAAATTCAGTACAATGACTGAACAAAAATGATTTATAAACGAGCAAAATATTGAAACAACTTTAAAACGAGGCAAAGTAATCTTAATTTCAAAGACGAGCAGCATATTAAAATAATTGCAACCTTCATCTTCAACATGAACAGTTCGATCCTTTGCTCCACATAAGCAGGTGAGCGATCAGATTGGACGATGATTCGAAGACCCTGCACTCCGTGCAGTCTTCTCACTCCACTGAACACGATGTAACCTATAGCAACAAACAATTTAACATCAAGCACCATGTAACATATGACAATAATAAACGCAATGTAACGTGCGACACGATACAATATATAACGAAGAATGTAAGTAGCAGTAACACGACGGAAGAAATTATTAATTATTCACAAACGATATGTGAAGCGTTTATATAAGAAAGTAGATTTGGTTCAAGTGTTCAACTTAAAAAAAGAAAGTGATCTGATGGACGGACCGAGTTGTTCCTGTGTCCTGAGAATGTCGTAGCACGGTTCCGAAATGATCTGGCAGAAGAGTTCGAGCAGCATGTTGCTGTGGGTCTCCTGCGGACAGCACTGGTAGTATATCTCCAGTGACGAACTCTTGTGCACGTCGTTCTCCCTGCAGTACCGGTAGCATCCACCTTGTTCGTTCAAACGAGAGTAGCATTTCGTTATTTACCAATTTGACGCAACATCGAAAAGTAACAAAATCTATTTAAATTTATTGATGATTTATCGTCGAATTAATCGAAAATTCTAAAAATATGAATTCAAAAATTAAAAAACCATCTGGCAGTTGAACTTCTCTGAATCGTCTCTGTTGGCTGGGTAAAAGAGGGCGGGTCTTGTAGGTGTCAATCAGGGCCTGCTCAATTAGATCCACCATAACCTTGGCTTTCTGTTACATGCAGAAATTTTATGATTTTGACAAATGTTTTGAAAAAGATTTGTCAAATTCCAAAAAAATGACGCCATAAACTAACAAATCAAGCAAAAAATAAAAGTATTGCTTATAAACAAAAATGTAACAAACGAACTTCTATTGAGACATTGCCATAAACAAAAGCTTCAAGGAAGACTTGTCCAAAAAGTTGAGGCACAAAATTCAGCAGCTTTTCAAACTTGGTTTCTACAGTTAATAATTAAATCTCTTTTAATACTTAATTAATACTGTATAGATATGCTGACATACTAACGCGTAAGTTCAATCCAAGAATAATATTTTACTTATAATACTTAAAATTGAATATGTTTGATATAATTGTTATTGCCTACAACAAATAGATAACAGCTAGTATAGCAACCACAAAAGGAACAATGAAAAAAGAGCATCTAAATTGATGCAAAAAAGAAAGAAAGAAAGAAAGCACCTTCAGTAGCTTCCAGCAACTCCTCCTTGGTCCACTGTTGTTCTGATATGAGCAGGCTTGTGTAGTAGATGGCGTGCTGGTGCGGCTGCTCGGCTCGAAAATTTTTCAGAGCCCTCACGTACTGAAGTGAAGTGAGAGTTTGCAAATTGAATCATTCCTCACTCGAGAAACAATTAATAACAACTTTAAACTTTCAACTAGCCATTCATTCCGGTTAGAGTTGTTAAGATTTACGTAGAACATTATGTAATATCAAATAAATAGCACAAAATAATGGTCATTGAATATATTACACAGAAATTACATTTTCAAGAAGAATATCAAATCGCTGCTTGTTAACATCGAATTGTAAGCCCTTTTCAACAATCTTCCTCAGCAAGTTTTGCTGCTTATCATTGTAACCTCCGATAGAAATCTGAAAAATTAAATTAGCAATTCGGGAGTAAATAAATAAAAAGTAGTTGGTCTGATTGACGAACTTGTAGGCCTTCACTGAATATGAACTGAAGCATGGTTTGAATGAATGAGTTACCAATGAGAGTTAATGTATAAACTTTTATACGATCAGTATAACCGAATGTATTATGATTTTGTCAATGACGGGACAACAACATGATTCATGGGGCAGCCAACAACAACATACAACCAACAACAAAACAAAAAGAAGAAACAAAAGAAAACATCTTCTAACAACTAAATAAACCGACCTGTAGACCATACGCATTGCAGTTGAGATCGTACTTGACTCCAGAAAGTTCAGCAGCATAGAGGTATTCATTGAGAATGTCTTTCAACATCTGTCCATACATGAAGGTCAGATTGGCTGACAGGGGATCCGAATAAGAAGAGGAACTGATTGGAGCATTTTTTAATTAAACCCGCTCAAGTTTTGTTGTCAGATAATTGTATAAGTATTTTATCTTCTACGAATATTCTAATTGTTAACAATGCTCTTACGAAAGCATTTGAATATTATTTGCAAATAAATATAAAAACCCAGTAAAGATAACAATAAAAATATTTTTAAAAGATAAAATTACTTTTAATAATTTCTACAATTATCTGACTACAAAATGTGAAAAATTAATTTTTATAACGAAACAATAAACTAATTAATTTCACGTTGAATATTTACAAAACTTTGGAAATATGATAAAACTTTAATCATAACTCAAAACTTCATTCATTCACATTTAACTCAGAGAAGTTTATATGAAAAACTAAAAAAAGATAGAAAAAACATTTAAAAAAATGTAAGTGAATGAAGTAAAATAAAACAAGTACAGTAGCTAATGTTGAATCCAATCAGAAGTAAATAAAACCACAAGAAAGCGAGTTTGTGAGACCAATGAACCTGAATATCTGGACAGTGAAGCAAGCCTTGGGTAACTTGAACTTGCTATCTTGGCAGTACCATATTCGAGATATGTTACTTTCGTGTATGATGCTGGGCAGCAGGATGGACTGGTGTGGTGGTTGTGGTGAGTGGTGGTTCATTTCATTTGAAAAAAAAACATTACATAGCACGATGTGTCAGTATGTGAAAAACAAAAAATAATAACCTAAGTAGCACAAGAAATGTAACATCGCGACGCTAACGTTAACGACTTCAGCAATATATACATGCATATGTTTTGATGATTTAATTTTAAAAAATAATCATGAATTAAATGAAGCCTTGATTTCAGGTATTTAATTTAACAAATAATTATAAATATGGTTCAAATTGAATAAAATTATTTGGATCAGTGGATAGTATGGCAGAATGAATGAATGACAAATCGAATGAATGAAAGACGCGATTGAAAGAATGAAAAACAACTGTGTAAATAACAAATGAAGGAAAAAATAAAAGGTAGATTGAATGAGTGAATAACACATAAATAAATGAATGAAACTACTTTAGGGGTAATAGGTAAAAGTTCAAAGTTCGTTGGTATAAAGTCGTTGACCTCTGGAAGAAGGAAACGTTCATTCAACTCTATGTTCCGCCAACCCTGTCAATGAAAGCCATGAAATATTTATATTTTGAAAAGAATAAAATAATGAAGGTGGATATGTGTATAAAATATTAAGGTAAACTATAAAGTGATTGTTAATAAAGCATAACTAACCTGAAAGTAACACAAATAAATAAAACCGGCACTTCATAAAATCTTGAGCAAACAACAATTGAAACATTGAAATTCTTAGAGAAATGGATATGAAGACAGCATAAACAGACCATCAAAACATCAATAAAAAAAACAACAACACGAATGACAACAACATATTTTAACAACAACACGAACAGCAACAACACCAGAGATGACTTACATCGATCACATCCTTCGGTATTTTAGTTATCGAATAATCAGTGCCATACCACTTTTCCTTCACGTTCGTAGTTCCGGCAAACTTCTTCCCAACAACGCATAACCTGTTTAATAAATGAATGAATATATGAATGAATGAATGAACGAATGAACAAACGAATGAACAAACGAACAAACCAATAAACTACAGCTACCAAGGCCGTAACAAATGAATTTTCGTTAGCAATTTATGTTAATGTTGTTTGTTGCGACGGACGCATTGATTTACTCATACTTGCTACTTGTTGATTCCACTTATGAATATTTAAGAGAATTGTATAAAAAACAAAATGACGTAATATTTTTAAAAAATTCATTTTTATCTTATACAGAAAAAGCTTATTTTCGGTAATCCTTTACCATTTTCAATGTAGTACGTCATCAAGAATTGATTGTATTTCATAAATACTTATATCTGTGCGTTCAAACTTTTTGGGTCCAAAAGATCCCTTTGCATTGATCCATTATTTCTTTTTATTATTAGTTTCTTAGTAAGTAGCAAAGTTACTCCATTTTGCTGGAGATTTATTACAGGGTTCTCTTTATTTATGTGCTTCTGCAATTTTAGATTTAACTGATTCCTGTTGCGATACAATACATCTGTGTTATTTCTCTAGCAATTGCTGTTCCATGGTTAACGATTAAATACCTTTGTACCGCACCTCTTTGTGTAAGCATAGTTAATCTTCATGTCAATGTGTCCGATATATTCTGAATTTCGATGCCCGCATTCACCGGTTGGACATTTAAAGGGATATATCAGGGGACTACTTTTCATTATTGACTCTTGCTTCTTATTACAGTCATTTTTAAGAACTAGGAAAAAGTTCTGTTCTTGGTATAATAAAATTCTAAGTTGTAATTTGTCATTACAATCGATTGTTTTGATTCAATTGATTCATGACTATGATTTTTAATGTTCCCTCATCTGTTTTATACGACGAGGACGTAAAGTTTTTCAATATTATTATATTAATATTTCCAGTGGTAAGGCTGCTAATTATTTTTTTTCATCAATAATTGCTTATATATATATATATATATATATATATATATATATATATATATATATATATGTGTGTGTGTGTGTGTGTGTGTGTGTGTGTGTGTGTGTGTGTGTGTGTGTGTGTGTACATAATATGTATACAATACATACACATACACGTGTATATAGAGTAAATACAAGCAAACAATGATGGTGATGAATCATTAGAATTCATCACTACACTGACATAGCATTTGTTCTTGAGTAATCAATATTTTTGTTTACATGTGTAACGTGAGAAGGCTTATTAAATATTTTGCTGGTCATATTTGAATGATCTGAACTTCATTATAAATAATATTTAACGTTATTTTATAGATAAAAAGCTTTTCCACCAATATTTACCACCAAATGCTCTTCATCATTATCACCATTCGATGAACAACCAAAATTATCTTCCATCTCTTATCACCATTTTTAATATCGTCATCACAACCAGCATCATCATCATTTTTTCTACCCTCATCCCCATTATCATCACCACCATCACAATTATTGAACCCCATTATCATCATCACCATCATAAATAGGTGCACTATCACCTTAGATGCTCTGGGGAGAGCTTGTCGAGGACCATGTCGATGAGTTCAGGTTTGAAGAGGTCGTAAAAATATCCCCCCGACAAAACTTCCTTCAGTGGAAAGATCTGCAAACATGGAATGACGGAATGAAAAATAAAGAAATGATAATATAAAAGAATGATAGGATAAATAAATAAAAAATGATGTAATGAAAGAATGAAAATAAATAGCACAACGAATGAGACTGTAAATTAAAAAATGATGGAATGAAAAAATGATAGAATGACAGAATGATAAAAAGATTGAGTGATTAGCAGGAAAAATGTTGCATGAGGAATAACAAAAAGGTTGAATAACAAATTTGGAAAAAGAACAAGTGTATACAACAGAAAAATAGAATGGAACAAAACCTGCATCTTAGATGCACATTTGCTTGTGTAATCACTTGGTTTTGTCTTGTCTTTAAATCTGAAAGACATTGCGCTGAGTTTCTGAAAAGAACAATAAAATAAACAAATTTTCCAAATAACTGAAACGAAGCAAGATGTATATAACAGAGTACAAAATAAACATGAAAGCAACATCAGAAGTGATGCAAGCAACAAGCATATTTCTCGTTCGTATTTGTTTGTCATTTTCCCGTCAACAAACAATAAAATTCTACATGACCAATGATTCTGTCCAAGAAAAGAAATAAACACTGAAAAATTATTCAAGTGGCGAGGCAACAACCTGGCATTCGCTGAATATCCACTCCTTAACTCCTTCCTTCTTTAGCATCTTCAGATACTGGAAGACCAATGATACGATATCTTCAACATGTTCTGCAATGGTTTGATTACATTTATTATGCCTTACGAGACTAAACAAAACACATTCCAACACAATACTAACGACAAAAAAATAAATTTTATTAAAAAAAATCCATATAATTTAATTTTTTGTGATTTTTAAATGTAAATCAGTAAATGTGTGAGAATACTCATTTTAATAAATGGCTTCAATCATCATATTTATTATCACATAATATCATAACCATTTTTTAAACCAAATCGTAATTATCAACTTCATCGTTTCCATCATCATCCTCACTCCCTCATCATCGTCATCACTACTAGCATCAGCAGCAGCAGTAGCTGCAGCATGCACTAACCAATGCCATCCTCAGTAAGATCGACCTGAACACTGAAGAACATGAAGCCCTTGCCACCCTCGCCCTCTCCAGCTGCCAGCGTGTTCACCCATCCTGTGTTCATGTTCATACGTCATTTCAAACTAATTAAGTGCCATCATTTAATTGGACATCATCAAATTTATATTATCACTCCATGGAATTATTCCTCAATATATTCTCCATCCATCTTTCCAATCCATCTATATAAATAAAGCCTCATTCAACCATCCATCTATCCATCCATTCGTTGAACGCCAGTACAAAAGTTGGTACCTCTCTTTTTGAGCTCGGACAGCAGACTTCCAGGCCCCTCGTGACCAATCAGGTGACCCAGGTAATGTCCAGGCTGCAAAGTTTTTGTGGTCATGTACTACTTATTTAAAACTAACTTATTAAGTGTAAGAAGATTCAAAAGATGAATGATGAGTCAAATAGTTATTGTTTATATATAAAATGTAAAAATTTAAAATTCATTAGATTAGAGCCAAATAAAAAAATTTCCAGATAAATAAATAAACAATTTCCAAATAAAAAAACATCCAGATATTACCATTTAATAATTAATCTTTATTTAGGTGTCAATTATTCAATGTAGCAGATTTTATAACCATCATAGATAGAAATTTCTGAAGTAAAATATGTAAGTAATCACAAAACCTACGTTGGATTTGTAGTAAGGATGAAGGTCCGGAGTGGGCCATGTTATATTCAAGCTTCTGACGTCCATTATAGGAACCACTGTCAATTTCGTCTGAAATCAATTTGATAGCATCATTTAAATCCATTCTGAAAACTATCTCCTTAATCTTCATTCAATAACATTTGTGAAAATAAAAATTTTAATTTGTTACATCTGTGAGCAGACAATTTTGTTTTATTCAAAGTAATATGAATAAAAAAAAGCAAATAGATCAAATAAATAGTTAAGGAAATAAATGTGAAAAGATTAATGAGACTTGTGCTTGTTCAGCTCCAAACGGGTGATCCAACCACTCAGGCACTGTCACATTTTTGTTCTCCACATCAGAAAATAACGAGGTGACCAAAGTTGTCAATTCATCCAAACTCTCTTTTTGATTTAACAATATTCAAAACAATTTTTGATTTGCTCTTATACAATTATTAAGATTTTCCAAAATAGAACTAAGAAATCAAATTAACTAAAGGCCACCGAATAATAAATTCTTCATATAACTTAAAAAGTGATGAAATGAGAGAACAAATGACCTTTTCCTAAAACAGCCAGAGCCATGATGTTGGATGAATAGAACTTGCCATGAAACTTCAACAGTTCCTCCCTCACATTCAATCCCAGCTGACGAGGTATGATGTCCAATGTCTCCTTATTGCCTGGCTCAAGCAATTGAACAAATTCTTAACTTACGCATCGAGCATCCAACATCCAACAACTCTACCCTTTTATTCAATTTATTTATTCAAATTCTATCTATTCATATTCTCACAATTCAAACAACATCAGCATACACATTAACACAATCATTGGCTTAAGAAGTACATTATATCAATCTCTAAGTAGATGATAACCTAGAAGCCACTGACTGACCAGTGCCAGATTATTATTAAAATTTATAATTTCGATTTTTTTTTCGACTTTTGAATATTTCTGAATTATTTGAGTGACTGACACAAATATTTAAATAATTATTATCATCACTTACATTATTGATTTAAAAGGTACCAATTAAAATGCTAATTTCAAAACTTAACTTAATTCAAAGTATTGTATAGACGATGTGACAGTAACATAAAAAACATTTGTTGTCATCTGCAACAAAATGAACCAGCATGCAAATTTAACATCATTAAAACTTACAAACACTCAATGTGGAACAACACAAATATAAATAACACCAAATTCATTCGTCGCAAGAAGAAAAATACCGGTTCCAAATTTAGAGTATGGATGTTTGGGATTGAACGTTGACTTTTCCAGCTGGTGCATGCGCCAACTATCATTTTGGATATTTTTATCATTTTCTGAATTGACAGCATTTAGTTCTCGGCTTGTGGCTGATTCAGTAAAGAGAGGGCAGACAAAAAATTGAGCAAATCTAAAGGTGCAACATTAAAAAATAATTATGAATAACAATAAAAACTTAAAGAAAAACTAAAATATAAGGTCACAAAAAATAGATTCAACAAGTGATCAACATTTTGTATTTTAATGTGAAAAACGAATGTTTGACCTATCGAGAGCCCCTGTTAAGTGATCAGGAGAGACATCAAAGTAGTAATTTGTGTTTTCACTGGAGGTGTATGCATTGCTCGATCCACCATGTTCACTTAGAAACTTTCAAATTTAGTTATTGTTTGTTACAATTTTGTTTAACTATCTTTAAAAAAACAAATATATTAAATTGATTTCTGCAATAAATTAAATACCTTGTTGTAGTTATTTTCTTCAGGATACTGAAATAATACAAATTAAAATAATTATCAGATTTTTTAGAAGAAAAAATAACAAAAACACTGTCAAACTGTGTGATACCTTCTTGGTTCCTAGGAATAACATGTGTTCACAAAAATGAGCCAAGCCAGGCAACTCATCAGGATCAGACATATTACCTATAATTTTTTTGGTTTGGTTATTACAGAACACCCATTAAAGAGCTGTAAAAAAGAATAAAGTGAAATATCTCCACCACCTCTAACCTATATTAACATCAAGGGCAGCTGATGACTTGTCTGTTGTTGAATCACTGATTAAAAGAACTTTCAATCCATTCTTAAACTGGATACCTCTATACAACCTGTTGTCTTCATCTGGTTTTGTGATGTCATTGACTATTTCCTTTATTTTGGGATTCATGATGAGACAAGGTCTGGTTGGAAATTTTTTAGAAAAAATTAATTAATGATTTTAACAAAATAAATAATGTTATTAATAGTTAACATGTAATTAATAACTCAAATTACTTGCCCATAAGTAAAAATTATCAATTAGTAAATTAACTTGTTGCTTGACTTATTTTAAAATAAAACCAGTCAAACAAAAGGTAAAAAGAAAGAGCTAACAAAACAAACAACTCAGGTTATTAATATATAAACAGCTGATATACTTTTATTTTAACATATGTCATATACATACTAATACATACTACAGCATACACATAAATTTTCAAATTGTTCGACTGAACTGAACTGAACGTGAACGAGTCAGTATGAGTATCAACGATATATATATATATATATATATGATATATATTATAAATTATTTATAGATATAATTTATTATTTGAAACCTGAAGGCTTGAAAATGAAATTGATTGAACATTGAATAGACATCAAATGAAAAAACGAAGATAAATGAAATTGGTACTTTAGTTTTGACACGATCGTGACACAAATTGCAATAAAACTAACGCAAGTTTAGACAAACGATCGACTTTTAGTCTTGCAGTATTGAACAATTTTGTAGAAACTCGATGAAGATTAATAACTTTAAAACACATCGAAATGATGAATTAAATGTAAAAGTAAAACTAAGTTAAAAACACCAAAACATTTCTTACCGATCTTATCGTTTGTATTCAATTTTGCAATCAAATGTTTAATTCACATATGAGCAGTGGCGTCACTAGGGGGGTGCGGGGGGTGCGGACCGCACCGGGTGACACCCTCACAGGGGGTGATACCAAAATATCACTGTACATGTTTTTATGTCCCTCCATGAAATTATTCTTATCATTAATTCAGCCTAACCCGCCCAGCGCCCAGAAATGTATTATGAATAAAATTTTTTTCGTTCAAATCATTTTTGTATTCGACATTTATACCATTCAAATTCGACGTCCGAATTATTAAGCGCCGCGGCCGAGCACAAATTCGACGTCCGAATTATTAAGCGCCGCGGCCGAGCACATTTAACTTGTTCGTGTTTATAAATTTTGCTAAGAATGCTGTATGTCTATGGGGTGTCATGAGAGGGGTGACACCATGAGTTACCGCACCGGGTGACACCAACCCTAGTGACGCCACTGCATATGAGTGATATATTATAAGGTATAAACAGGGGCGTCATTTCAGATTTTGGTTGGGGGGGTGAACTTATGTGGTCTATGACTTAGCATGTAACATATATATATAGCAGACTATTAAACTGAACTAAATAATTGGCCATTAAAAATTTTTAAAAAAATTTTTATTTAAAAAATCCTAATTCTGATACGTATCATCATGTCATCAACTAAACATCAAACAGCAATCCCCGTCGAGTCATTTGAAAGTATTGTGGCCAAAATACTAGATAAGTCAAACGATCACACTATGAAGTGCTTCGACAATCTGCTTAAGAAATCTAACGAAAACCTTGAAAAAGTCATAACTCTGTCCAACAGCAGTCTTGAAAAGATATTTGAAAAGTTTGACTCCAGCCTGACGTTGGTTATTGAAAAGTCAAACGAAAATCTACGCAAATCACTGGCTAACTCAGAGGGTTTAATGAGCAAACTTTTTGAATCAACATTGCTGCGAATGGAGGCCCTCAGTAATAGCTTCGAGCGAGCGGTCCGAAGTATGTCAGACGCCGTCAATGATTCGATGTGTCAACTTCACAATACTATGTCCACATTGTCCACCAGTGTCTCTGAGTGTCAGAAACAGGTATTGAAGCTTAACGAGACACCGATGATTGAGCAGATGACCAAGGCTTTGTGGATAGTTGAAAGAGAGCGTAAAGATGAGGAACGCCGAGCCAATAACGTGATCATTTCTGGTCTTGTGGAGCAATCAGGAATCAATGACAGAGATATTGTGCTGGATCTCTATGAGAAACATCTGGCGATCAAACCACAGGTCATTAAAACACGTCGTATTGGCAGCTCGAGGCTATGTGTTACCTTGTCCGGACCATCGGCAGTGGATGATTTAATATTCTCTTCCAGGATCCTACGTTCAAAGCCTGATACGAGGAATATTTTTATAAACTTTGATTTGTCAAAAAGACAGGCAGAACAAGCTTACATCAAGCGCCAGGCACGACGCCTTGCCAAATCAGTCGGTGACAAATCTAAAGCGGAGGAGACTGACAAAGGACAGCCCTTTCGTTAAAATCAGGCCTCTTCGGTTGGCCTTAACTAACGTCAGAAGCTTACAAAATAAAAAGAATGACTTAATTTTATTTCTATCGGATTATGATCCGGATATTTTTTCTGTTGTTGAGACATGGCTCTCTCCGGACGATTGCGACAGCTTGTTTTTACCTCCCGGATACGTTTTTGTTAGAAAAGATTGTTGATCACGTAGTGGAGGCGTGGGCTTTATCATTAAAAACTCAACATCTTTCAAAGAGGTCATAATACCAACTAAATACTCGCACATCGAAATAGTATCTATTGATATTACCATATCATCTACGCATCACCGCTTCATATCATACTATCGCCCTGGTGGTTTTGACAGGTCGGCTGATGATTATGCCACTGATAGCATACAATGCATTAGAGAGCTGTGTAGAGGTCATGTCAACTGTCTGTTAGGTGACTTCAATCTTCCACTCATCAACTGGACCAATTATTCTTCACCAAATAACTCAATTTATAATTCATTTATTCAACTTGGTCTGCAACAACTGGTTGATCAGCCCACTCGAGGTCAAAATATCCTCGACTTGGTACTTTCTGATGATTCCAGTTTACTGGCCGAGTTAGAGATTATCAGTCCGCTTGCCTCAAGTGATCACAACATCATCACTTTTCAAATCAACTGTTTCATCAACAACCCAACAGACGTCAACCCATTCATCAAAACGTACTCCTATGATTTTAACAGTGCTAATTATAATGATATAAATAATTATTTGTCTAATATAAATTGGAATTATCATTTTCAGCACTGTTTTAATGTCAATATGTGTTGGGACACATTTGAACAAATAATCAACCACGCAATATCGATTTTTGTTCCCGAAATTGGACGTAGTCAATCACCGTCTCAACATCAAGCTCCTAGGGCACTTCGCTTATTATACAAAACTAAACTTTATTTTTGGAGGAAATGGAGAGCAAGTTCAAATCCAATTGATAAAGAACAATATTTGAGGATTTCCTGTTACTGCTCTAACTTAGCCAATCTACACCGCAAAAATAAAGAAAACCAATTGCTGTCTAAAGCGAATGTTAAAAATTTTTATCGCTATGTCAATAACAAACTGTTTTCCAAACCCTTGATAGCCAGCCTCCAAATTAACAATAACAACAATACAAATAGTAATATCAGCAATAATAATAATAATTTTGTTGTGGTTAATAACAGTAATAATAGCGATGGTAAGGTTAATGATAGTGGCGAGAATAATAATATTAATAATAAAAATAGTGATGGTAATAATAGTGATAATAATAATGGTGATGTCAATATTAATAAAAATGGTAATAATAATGGTTATCATGATAATGGTAATAATGATAATAATAATGGTAATGATAATTATATTGATGGTATTAATAATATTGGTAATGGTACTGGTAATGATGATGATAATAAAAATGATAGTGGTGGTGATAATAATGATGGTGATAGTAATAATAATGCTAATAATAATAGTAATAGTAATTTCAGCAATGATGATCGTAATTGTTTTAGTAATAATAATTTATTAATAATTATTAATAAAAATAGTAATAATAATGATAATTATGATAATGTTAATAATGGTAATAATAATGGTAATGATAATTATATTGATAGTAATAATAATATTGGTAATGGTAATGGTACTGGTAATAATAATGATGATGATAATAATGGTGGTAATAATAATGATAATGGTAATGAAAACGATAATAATAGTAATAATGGTGATAATAATAGTAATAATAATAAAAACGGTAATGGTAATAATAATGGCAAAAATAATGGTGAAAATAATTGTAATGATAATGATAATAATAATGGTAATAAAAATACTGATAGCAATGTTGACAGTAATGGTGATGTTAGTAGTGGTGGTGTTAATGGTAATAGTGGTGGTGATTATAATAGTAATTGTAATAACAATAGTAATAATAACGATGGTATTAATAATGGTGTCCATAGTAGTTATAATAATAATAAATATGGTATTAATATTGACAATAATAGTAGTAAAAATATTAGTAATGTCAATGGTGATAATAATAATGGTAATGATAACAATAATAATAATGATAGTAATAATGACAATAACAGAGGTGATAATAATTATAAGTATAATATTAACATAAATAATAACAATGAATACAGTGATGTAGGTATTGGTATTGATATTTTTAAGGATAGAATTAGTTATAATAAAATTGTTGCTAATGGTAGTGATGAAAACAATGGTAGCATTAATAATAGTTACAACAATAACAACAATAACTGTTTAATAATTAACAATAATATTAATAATAATAATAGCAATGTAACTACTGATCCTGTTGTGATGGCAAATTTGTTCAATGAGTATTTTTCCTCTGTTTTCACCATCGATGATAAAAGCAACTGTTCTCTATCAAATCGTACAACAGAATCATTGAATGACGCTTGCTTCACTCCACAGATTGTGTATCTCACTCTGCGCAAATTAAAAAATACAACATCAGTGGGCCCGGATGGAATACCAAACAGGTTTCTCAAGATGTGTGCTTCAAGTCTGGCTCTTCCATTGTGTCACATATTTGATACGTCATTCAAAATTAACTCTCTACCAACAAAATGGAAAAAAGCAATTGTTACTCCAATCCATAAAAAGGGTCCAACCAATTACCCCAGCAGTTACAGACCAATATCACTTACCTGCTCATCTTGCCGGGTTATGGAAAAAATAGTCAAGAACAATATAATATCTTATTTATTAAACAACAATTTAATGTCAAAATTTCAGCACGGTTTTTTGCCTGCCAGATCAACAACTACTAACCTCCTCAAATTTCTAAGCGATCTGTTATTAATTCGCCAAAGAAAGGAAAGATGCGACACAGTCTATCTCGACTTTCAAAAGGCCTTCGACTCAGTCTCGCACACAAAGCTAATCTGTAAGCTAAAAGCATATGGCATTCGCGAAAATTTGCTCGGATGGATAACAGATTTTCTATATAACCGTTCACAGATAGTCAAGATTCAAAATAAACTGTCCAGTCCAGTTGCAGTAACAAGTGGGGTACCCCAAGGCAGCGTTCTGGGACCCACCCTGTTTCTCATCTTCATCAATGATATTGAAGACTGCCTTTCATCTCAACATGTCTCTATGCTGCTCTTTGCTGATGATATCAAATTGTATGCCGGTTCATCAAATTCATTCCAACTGCAACAGGTCCTTAACGATATTATCGCGTGGAGCATCAGATGGCAACTACCGCTTTCTCCTAACAAATGTTCGCTTTGCTCATTTCTACCATGTTCAAAAAATGTTACTGCCATAAATCAGTATGTGATAGAAAATCACATTCTGACACCTGTCGAATATTTTAAAGATCTAGGTGTAATAT